TGCATAGGCAACTCTCTGCAAACCCAATGGGTCAGCTGTTCTTATTTACATATAGACTTTAAATGGGAAGGACACACATTAGATCTCAGCCCCACGATGGAGCATCTTCACTGTATTGGGATGTAATTGACAGTTTGGTGCTAGAACCATAGCTGCTGAGACAGCAGCTTTACACATGGCAGGGCTTGGGTCTCTTTCAGAGATTACTTGAAATTCTCTCCTAATTGTAAGCTAAAAATCACTGAATACTTTTTTTTTTATTTTTTAAACAGAATCACTGGCAGGAACTCAGACATCAATTTAAAAATTCAAATATCTTAACATAATACGATAGAAAGATGTATTGCCCGGCGTTGGTGGCGCACACCTTTAACCCCAGCACTCGGGAGGTAGAGGCAGGTGGATCTCTGCGCGTTCGAGACCAGCCTGGTCTACAAGAGCTAGTTCCAAGACAGCCTCCAAAGCCACAGAGAAACCCTGTCTTGAAACCCCCCCCCCCAAAAAAAAAGAGACAATATGGGTGAACTCTGAACTCTGACAGTAAAATGTGTCATCTACTGAGTTTGATTTCTGAATTTTTGGTCATTTGTGGATGAGAATCTTGTACTGTTGCCTAATTTTTCATGACCTCCTCATCTAGCTTCATGATGTCACATGGAGTCATGTCACAGTTTAAGCTGGACACTAAAGGAAGCTGATTTTGTTTCTTTTTGGTCTTTGCTGGTGTCCACAGAAACAGATCTTCCTTGATGTTCATCAGGAGATTAGAAGGGAGATGAATGTCTTTGTTTCATCTAGACTATGACTAATTCCCTCAACTGGGAAGCTTAAGATCACAGTGCCACTTCCATTTATCTGAGAGTATAAACAATAGTAGCATGCTCTCCGAATCTAGAAAGAACATTTTAAATGCAGCAATGTCTGTAAAACCCTGTTAATTTCACATTGCGACCAGGCACACCAGCATAACCCTTACACCACATTTGTCAGCTGCTAATGTTTGCTTTATACGCTGTTGCTTTAATTCATTAACGTAAACATGTTAACATATGGCAACACAAATGCTTATATTACTTACATATATACATATAACGTTTACTTCAGATAGGGACTCACTGTATAGCTTTGGTTGGCCTGGAACTTGCTATGTAGTATAGGCTGGCTTTGAACTCATAGGTATCCATTTGCCTTTGCCTTCCAAGAGTGCTGGGATTGAGGTATGTGCCACCATGTCCAGTTGTTTTTTTTTTTTGGTTTTTCCGAGACCGGATTTCTCTGTGTAGCTATGGAGCCTATCCTGGCAGTCACTCTGTATACCAGGCTGGCTTCGAACTTACAGAGATCCGCCTGCCTCTGCCTCCTGAGTGCTAGGATTAAAGACGTGCGCCACCAATGCCCAGCTCCAGTTTTTTAAATTTTTTACACTTATTTGCTGTGTGTGTGTCGGGGGCCATGTTTGTGCCATCATAGTTTGTGTGTGAAGGTCAGAGCAGTTCTCTCCTCATGTGGTTCCTGGGCATTAATTTAGGTCCTTAGGCTTGGCAGCAAGTGCCTTTCCCTGCTGAATCACTTTGCTGGCTCCTAGATTTTTTCCTCTGATACAGTTATTTGGGTTTATTTTTGGAGACAAGGACTCACTATGTAGTAAGTATCTCACTAGCCCAGGCTGGTGTGGAACTATGTAGACAAACTTGGCTTTCAACTTGCACAGATTATTCTGCCTCTTTAAGTACGCCTGGCCTTATGTAGCCATTTGTACGTTGATTTTACTTTTTAATAAAATGTTTCTGCACACGTCTTTAATCCCAGCACTCGGGAGCAGAGGCAGGCAGATCTCGGTAGAGTTCGAGACCAGCCTGGTCTACAAGAGCTAGTTGCAGGACAGCTCCCAAAGCCACAGAGAAAATGTTTTTCTTTTCATAGTTTCTGCCCTTTTCTTGTCTTACAGACAGAAAAGTGCAAAGATGTGTCTTTTTGTTTGTTGTTTTGACACAGGGTCTAATATAAACCACGTTTGCCTGATTCACATTCAACTGTGAATCCAAATCTGGCCTTGAACTTCTGATCCTCACAAACGCTGGGACTGAAAGCATTTGCCACAGTGCCCGGTTGCTTTGCTTTTTCTCTTTTCCCTAGTACCTAAGATTATGCAGGTTCTTAATTACGCTGCTCTTTTAAGATTTTTTTTTTTCTTTACTTGAGGCAGGGTTTTACTGTGTGGTCCAGGGTAAACTAGAATGTTCTAAATAACCCAGACCCATCTCAGGATCCTTTCATCTTAGCTTTCCGCATGCTGGGATTATAGGCATGTATATGTGCACCTCTGTGTGCGCGTGCGAGCCAAGGAATGTGCGCCTCTTGGTTGGAGGATAACATCCAGAAGTCAGCTCTCTCTACCATGTAGACTTTGGGGATCAAACCCAGGTCTCCAGAGCTTAGGGGCAGGTATCTTAGTCCACTGAACTATTCCATCAACCAGTTTTATTATTTCTCGAAACCATTTCTTTTTCTATTACCTGTCAATAGACAGTTTATTAACACCCCACCCCACTTCTAGCCTTTTCA